ATTAAAAAATGGAAACATCAAATAATTAAAAATTTATTGAGTTATGCACACTGATACTGATAAATAAGGTTGTGAGAGAAATTTTATTGTATTTTTTAAAATTTCAGTAATTATATATAATTAATATTAATGATAATTTAATATTTTAATTATTACACAAAAAGAATATGATGGATATAGCACAAAATTCTGATATATTTATGATAAATTTAATTAGAGCATTTCTATTTATTAAAGACTTGAAAATAAATTTTCACCAAATAAAAATTAAAAATTTAATAAACATATTATTAAGTAATTTTTCCTAAATTTAATGGTTAAGTATAGAAAAAGTACATTATGAGGCATAAAAACAAAATGTAAAAAATATTTTACAGGTTAAAATTGTTTTAAATTAAAAGTTAAGAAATTAAGTTTGATATTTAACTTCATAAAAATAATAACATTATGTTTTACATCATAAACATCACAAACCTACAACAGTTTATGTACAATGAACAGAATTTAAAAACCATTAGAAACATTCAAAAATGCTAGAGGTACTACATAGTGCGTGCGCCATGATGTCTACAACACTATTGTCTTACCTAAAACATACAACGGTAGGGAACTGGAACATGGACGGAGTCACAAATTTATGTTAGGTTGGTAAATTTTTAAAATTTTTTTAAAATCATTTATTAGTTTATTTGATATAAATAATCTATACTATTAATTTTTAAATTACTCATTAATTTTATGTACATATTACTTATATCATTTGCATCAAATTTTAAATTAACTAAATATATTTAATTATTTTTAAATAGCATGTAATATTATACTCTTTAAACAAATAGAATAAATAATATAGTTTATTTTTTCATAAGATTACATATATCAAATTAGTTTTAAATATAAAATATATAATTTAGATGAATAGAATAAATTTAAATGTTAGTTTAACAAAACATAAATTGAACAATAAAAATCATATACAATTAATGTAAAATTTTATATAAATTATATTAATGTAACTAAATCTCGATTTATTTTTTTTTTTTCATATTTTTTCTTACCTACATAAAATTGTCATATGTTTAAAAGAATTACTCACAAAGAGAGAAATGATCCCTTTACCTAAATCTTAAATATTTTCCTTATATTTGAATGGTCTCTATAATTTAAACTTCAAGATTAAAATTTTACATATAAGAAAAATAAACAATAAATATACCATACTTGACATTTTTCAAAAGTTCAGGGAGCGGCTGCCTTCCTTGTTTTATGCTGACTTCATCTTCGACTGTATTCGACATTTTTCAAAAGTTTAGAGGGGCGGCTGCCCACCTTGAAACCTTGTCTTGTGTTCACTTTGTCTTCGACTACATTTGACATTTTTCAAAAGTTTAGGTGGAAAGCTCCCTCCTTGTCCTACGCTTTATGGCTCCATCTTAGGACTAGAATCTAATTAATGTTGATCAGTATAACTATGGAAGAGTGGAAGACAAATATCAACTACAAAGCAAAGCTAGCTTGAGTCTGGAAGGCACAGTTGATAGCAATAGAATGAGCAATCCACACATTTTGGTCATACCTTATCCAACTCAACGCCATGTGAGGCCTCTCTTAGAGTTCTCACAATTGTTGGTCAAACATGGCATCAAAATCACCTTTGTGAAAACTGAAATTTCACATCAATGAATCATGAATGCATTTGGAAGCAAGGTAAGTGAAAATAGATCAATTCACTTTGTCTCACTCCCAGATGGGATGGGTGTGGATGAGAACAGGAATCAAATAAGGAGATTGATTGAATCTATCTACCAATTTACACCTGTGAAGCTAAAGTAACTCATAAACAAGATAAATAGATCAGATGGTGATTAAGTTACATGCTTATTGACTGAGAAGACCCTAGGATGACCGTTAAAAGTAGCAGTGGAGCTGGGAATAAAGGCAGTTGCTCTATTCCCTGCATTAGCCTTATCTTTAGCCTCAATCTTTGCCATCCCATGATGATTCATAATGGAGTTGTTAATTAAAATGGTGAGATTAAAGGAATCTTAAAGCATATTTTTCAAGATTTCCTCAGATAGAGCCTAAAAATTTCTTTATAGGCATCCTAGTTAAGCGTGAGATGATTCAGTTGTTGTTAGAAATTCCTGCCTTTAATCCATCGTATTTGTCATGGGTATCGATCGAGGGCTTCACAACCCAAAAGATTTTATTTAACCTCTTCCAAAGAAACATCCAAGTTGCAAAGAAAGTAGAGTGGCTACTCTCCAATTCCACATATGAACTAGAAGCTAGAGCATTAGCCGCCATGGCTCCAAAGGTCTTGCCCATTGGCCCACTTTGGGCATACGAGAGAGTTGGAACTTTGGTTGCAAATTTCTGGTTGGAAGATAGTTCTTATTGAAAGTGGCTTGATCAATAGCCACCAGACTCAATCGCATATGTTGCATTCGGCAGCTTCACGGTTCTTAATGAGACATAGTTCCGTGGATTGGCATTGGGGCTTGAACTCTAACAGACCATTCTTATGGATTGTGAGACCAAACATAATAGAGGGGAGATATGAAGCATACCCAAAAGGGTTTTGGGATAGAGTAGCAGATCACAGTCAGATGGTGGGTTGGGCACCACAACGAGCAGTTCTGAGTCATCCTTCCATTGCTTGCTTCATGAGCCATTGCAACTAGAATTCAACCATAGTAGGTGTAAGCAACGGAGTCCCCTTTCATCATTGGCCCTATTTTGTTGACCAATTCATGAACAAGATTTACATTTGTGAGATTTGGAAGGTGGGATTGAAATTAGAGAAAGATGAGAGTGGGATCATCCGACGAGAAGAGATCGAGACCAAGATGGAGAAACTGTTAGGCGATCAAAATCTTAAAGCTAAGTCTTTGGAACTGAAGGAAAAAATTAGGACTAGTGTCAAGGAAGGTGGTTCCTCTAGCAAGATTCTCAATAGTTTTATTGAATGGGTGAAGTCTTAATCACATTAGTGATGATATTAATATACTCCATCCATCCAACTTTATTAAGCTTAGGATTTAAAAAATAAAATAAAATACAAATATAATTCAATGATAAAATTTTATGTTTATTTCTAATTAAATACCACTTAAATTTGACTTATTATTTAATATATATTGTAATTTTTTAAATAAAGATAAAATAAGAATAAATGTATTAAATGATATCTTTATAAAAAAAATAAACAATTATGTTAAAAAATTAGTATTTAAATTTAAATATCTTAAATTAAAAATTAAATCTATTAAAATTAAATAAAAAAATTAATTTATTTATTTCTATTTTTGTTTATCTTGGAGCCTATGCGTAACTCTTTCAATACATCAGTGAATTATATAAGTAATGAAATATATTTCTTCCAATTCTTTCTTCCTGCCTTTTTATATGCTTTAAATCTTAACA